GGTCTCGGGTTTAGGGTCTCGGGTTTCATGCCGGTTTGGTGGTTATGGTGTGGTGCGTGGGCTTCCTTTTTTTTAAAGGTAGACCTTTTATTGGGAGCCGGTCAAAAGAAAACGTAACTAGAAGGCTTTTACACAAGAACCTGTAGAACCAGGCAAACCGAGGGAACCACAACCATAAATCCAAAACAACTAAACCACTAAACCCTAACCTAAACTCTAAACTTCTGCGAATCCAACATAAAGACGTATCGACTTGACCTCTTCGTAGCCAAGCCTTGGCTTTCAAGGGTGCTTTGGGGCCTCTCGTTTAGGGCTCAAGCCGTTTGGTGTTTGGCTGTTCAGCGGTTGGTTCCTTTTGCGGATGCAGGTCTTGAGGTTTTAATCCTTGAAGTTTTGAGGTTTTGCGGTGTGTGCTCGCGTTTTAGCTCAGAGCTTCTTTCTTCCAGAGAGAGAGAGNNAGCGAGAGAGAGAGAGAGAGAGACTTCGTGTCCAACAGCTCTAAAAGGAGCTCGATCCTAGGTAACTCTTTGGCGAGTCGGGTAATGTATGCCCTAAACCGTACACTAAACAATATGCCCTGCCAGCCATCAAGTCCAAGCATCCCAAGTACGGTACCCCTATGAGGGTTTAGGGATGCTTGGGGCTTAGTGTTTAGCGGCATTACTAAAGCGTCTGCAGGACGCTGTTACCGGATCCTTTGCCGCCTATGCCCAGATCAAGGTCTTTGCCTCAAGAGGGATCGGTTGAAAGTTCATAGCTTCTGGCTCAGGATCAAGGGTTGGTCCATGGTTTCTTGCTTCGTGCATGCCTTACGCTCCGAACTTCTGGACTTCTGGTGATGCCTTTCTCCAAACCCAGACAGCAGCGGGTTCAACCGAGTCTGCCGAGAGTAAACCAGCGACTCCCCGCGAGCAAGTCCGGTAGGTGCCCCAATCTAATCTCTGTACTATAAGGGCCTGAATAATTGCCTATAATATTTTGGGGGTTCCTTATTATAAATATAGTATACTGAGCCCCAAAACCCCATTGAAATTATTAAGGCCCCTACATACTCAGGCAGGGCTCGGAAATACTTGTCTCTCGTGGTACCTCTCTCCCTCTTCGGCCGTCTGGGACCTCTGAAGGACACAGGAGCTTCTGAGCAACCATCGGTTTTGAGGTTGAGGGTTAGGGGTTAGGGTTTAGGGTTTTGAGGTTTAGGGTTCAGGGTTTAGGGTTTTGAGGTTTAGGGTTTAGGGTTTGGAGGTTTAGGGTTTAGGGTTTAGGGGCCTGCTAGAGGGCTTTAGATCTCAGATCCCTGTGAGGCTTGATCGAGTTCGTAGAGACTTGTTTCTTGCTGGTGAGCGGCAACATACATCCTTGAGCACCAACGCAGCAGCGCAGGTAGTTGTCTCCCGAATTCGACACTCCCTGTAGGACGTGCGCCACTTTGCACGGCGCGGCTTTGCCTTTGTCCAGTTCCACTCGGTTGAGGCTGCATCAGGGAGAGACGGTATGTAGCGCAAATTTGGTGGGGGTTGCTGAAAAGTTGGCGTGCACTCTTGGAGATCATGTTAGGGATCCCACCGCTTGGAGTCCACAACGGTGCCGCATTTTCTGACACTCCCACCGGCAAGCTAGAAGTCAGGTCCATTTCGGGTCGCTGTAGATCTTCAGGGCAAGTATCACAAGTATAACGAGTGGAATGAGAGGTTCGTGTCTGGAACGGATGAGACGCACATGGACGTACCGCGACCCAACAAAAAACGGTTCCAACGGCTAGGGCGAACAGGAGTCACAGGTTCACCTGTGGGTATTCAGTGTCCCAAAGTCAAAACTCCAAGTTCAAACGCCTAAGTAAATTCCCCACTTCAGTAACATCAACCCCGTACATAAGCCCTATAAGCCGCGAGTTATGAGTTTATATCGCTCCTTTTACATCTCAAGCCCTCAACCCGTGAAGCGTAAGCGCTGAGATGTGACTTGGGGGCCTGCTGAGCTGTAGCCCAAAATGCCTACCTTTGTAAGCGACTAGGTGAGGATATCATAGTACCCTAAGGGTCCAAGTGCCCATTATTTACGGACTTTGGGGCCTTTTTGGGGTACCTAAAACCAAAAATAATAAGGGCTACTTGGAGCCTTAGGGGTAAGGAACCTTAGCCGCCTTAGCCTTAACCATCATGTGTTGAGTTGCAGGTAAGACCCACAACCCCTCAACCCTCAAATGTAAGTCCTTGTGCAAGCCTGAGAACTCGGGTCTACGTGCATGTCAACGTATCCTGTAAATATACCTGCAAACAAGTGAAGATCTAGACGGTAAGCAAGTAAATAGTGGCACATGCGTATGCACATGCATGTGCATATGTAGCGCAATGTAGATGTGTGTGTGTATATATATATATACAGATTATTTATTCTTACTTATATATACACGTATTATATAATATATATATATATATGTGTGTGTGTATACATAAGCATGAATAGCTGCCCCTCCTTCCAAAGCCCAAAGCCAGGATGCCATCCGCGCCCTGAATCGTTTTGAGAAAGAAGGGCGGAGCACCTCGGCAGGTCATTTGCCGGGTTCTTGCAAAGGAACCTAGTATGAGTTCGAACAAGTGAGATATGTTCAACGTGGCATGCAAGTTAGAGCTTGTCAGCGGTGCTACTTTCACTGGTCATGGTTCAAGTGCCGAAGACTTTCTTGAGCCTTTGTTTGTTTAGTGGAAGTTTCCGCGGTACCGGTTGCCGCTCTTTCGCACATACATACACAAGCATATACGCAGGTGATGTATGTGTATGTGTCATTCGATGTTGATATCGCAGCACGATTAACTAGTTTTCCTGTCTGCAGGCAAGCCTGCATATAATGCGGGTATGCATGTTTGTATTCATGCATGTCTGCATGCGTGCTTGCATGCATGAACCGTATATGTATGTACGCATGTAGTTATGGATGCATACATACATGTATAGTATGTATCTCTGCAGAATGTATGGAAGGGAGATGAGGCCGAACAGTCCAAGTGCATCCCCACTTCTGCCGAACCCCAAAACCTAACCTCCTCCCGAGTCGACTTCAGTACATTTTGGTTCAGGGTTTCATCGGGTCTGGTGGGTTTGGGTCTATCTGAAGTTTAAGACTTCGTGGGTCGGGCTCGGATGGGGGCATGGCTTGGGCTTTCGGGGGCATTTCGTATGTTCGTGTTCGGGGTCAAGAGTTTACCAGCATGATGTAGCCACAAGACTGCTGCCAAGGTCGTATCGATGGCCAGCGTGTCACCGCCAACTTCGCGAAAGAGCGCGAGGAAGGGATTCACAGAATTAGATTAGGTTTAACCCTAACCCTCCAGGTACCTACTATATAGGGTACTAGAGCCCCTAGGGCCCTATATAGTAGGTACCTGGAGGGTTAGGGTAAGTTCTTGGTGTAGTTCTGGAGGTAAGCCTTGCACCCTCAACTTTAAGTTAGACTCTCACGGGCTTGGGGGCTCAGTAAATCGAGAAGCCATAGCTAACCACAGTGGCTTTCACTGTTGCTGTAGAAAGGCTCCACTAGAAGAGCTACTGTATTCGCATCCTCGCAAGCTTAAAATTCCTAGAAGGCTTTAGCCCTCTAGGCCTATTAGCCCAGGCGCAAGAGACATTTTCTCGAGTCAATTGATCCAACAAGTTGCAGTACCCTCATGGCGACACAGGCCACTGACCTCGACGCGAGACCTTTGCTAACCACATTCAACGAAATCCGAAGGCGTGAACTTTCGCCGCTTGGGGCACGAGTAGGTAGCCCGAATCTGAGATACTTGCAGCCCCGAGTATAATTTAAGGCTTATAAGAATGTTGATATAGCATCCCTTTAAACATATCATACTATCTTCCACGAGCATAGTACACTATACCGTTATTGCCAAACATGGTCACGATGCCAAGCCCGGGACCAGGAGCCGTTCCGAGAAGGCCGCAATTTCCTCGTGGCGGAGCGCAACTTCCTGCAGAAGCAGGCCATATGCTTAGGATTCAGGGTTTAGGGCTTAGGGTATGTAGTTTTTTTCTGCGATTGGGACCTGTGGAGTTTAAGGTTCAAGGTTTAGTCAGTTCAGGGTCTATAGGGGTAAGGTTAGCCGGGTTTGGTACCCGTACGTGGCTCCTGAAGCCTAAACTGTGCTACCACTGCTGCTGCTGCTGCTGCTGCTGCTGCTGCTGCTGCTGCTGCTGCTGCTGCTGCTGCTGCTGCTGCACTGCTTCTATTTCTACACCATTGCAAATAGGGACTGTGACAAGACCGGGACGACGACTAGCTATGTATGAGCGAACGACGATGTATGGACTTCTTGCGGTAATCTGACATGGAGATCGTTGCTGCCATTGCTACACTCGGCATTTCAAATCCACAGGCCCTCTAGACTAGAGCCCCTCTGAAAGCCCTAACCCCTTACCCTTCACCATTTGCTGTTTCTGTGAGGCAATTGCCACCGCCGAGGCTCAGTTGCTCAGTTTAGCCTTGACTTTGGGCTATGAGTTCGGGCGATGGGGGTCAAAGTTCAGGTTCAGGGGCAGAGGTTTCGGGGTTTGCTTGGTGCAGGGTCGAGACGAGAGGGCTGCGTAGACGGCTGGACTGTAGCATCAGAAGCATCACGATCTTGGCAGCAATCCATCCCATCCCTCCATCCCTCCATCCATCCTTCCTTCCCAAAAAACTGTTACAGAGGTTGTCCTTTCCTTGTCCGCCTGTGATTTCCTTTGTGAGAAAGATGCCCCAACATCGTGACTTCACAGGAGCTAGCAGAAAACGCACGCTTCAACCCTGAGGACAGCCTCACCTCCGAATATCCTGTCTCTCAGGAACTAAACCCTCTGGCTAAAGGATCAAAATCGTACTCCCCGAAACCGATAAACCCGAATTTCAAGTGTGCAGGGTTTGGGACTGCAGGGTACTTTCAGCAGCGTATGGTTTGGAAGTTAGGTCGAAGCTTGGGGCTTCCATATTGGACTTTGGGCCAAAGCTTCACAGCAGTTTTGTTGAGATGGAGCAAGGGAGGTTGGCGGGGGGGGGGGGGGGGGTTTAGGATTGAGGCTTTACCCTACCTGTGGCATCGTGCGCACATCTTCACACGCCAATCACATGCTTGCGAATGCTCGGCCCAATCGCAGATGTGCACATGGACCATGGAGCAAGGACTTTGCCCAAACCACCCCTCAGAAAGGAGCCTAAATACAGATATCTAATGACAGGTAATTGGAAGCTATCTTGGACCCAGGTTTGCCCCGCTAGCCCCTGCAACAAGCTTAATCTTAAACACCTGTCTCACCTGCCGCTCCCACACCATATCAAGCACCACAAAGTGGATGAGCCCTGTTGCACTTCCCTTTGTGACGGTAAAGCGGCAACAGACTAGGCCTGTACAGACCGGAGTCGAAGCCCCTAAACCCTAAACCNNAATAAGGAATATACCTTAACTTATAGGGGCCTTAAATACTATGATTTCAGCTCCATTCCTTAATTAAGGGGTAAGCACCATGAGATGACCTCTGGGGCTTCAAGCCCGTTGACTTACCATAACCGACGTGGAAGTCCTGAAGACCCCGTTTGGAAGCCCCTAAACCCTGAAGCCCCAAGCCTACGATCCCAAAAAATCGCAGCGCGCAGAGCACAGGGAAGACCCGGTAGCTGAAGCTCCTTTCTTCCTTCCTTACTATAGGGGCTTTAATAATGAGAATAGGGTTTTGGGGCCCACTAGACTATAACTATAATATAGGAGCCCCCAAGATGGTATTGGTAATTATTTCGGTCCCTACATTACACCCTAAACCCTAAAATCCTAAAACCCTAAAACACTGAAACCCTAAACCCTAAAACCCTGGCCCCTACCCCAAAGGGTCCAAGTACCATTATAGTAGGTACTTAGTAGGTATTTGGGCCCCAAAAGTATAGGCTATAC